GAGAGAGAGAGAGAGAGAGAGAGAGAGAGAGAGAGAGAGAGAGAGAGAGAGGGAGGGAGAGAAGAGGGGTGGGGGGAGTTCCTATTCGGGCACGTGGGACAGAAAGAAAGGGAGAGAGACGGGAGGGAAGAGGAGGGAAGGGGAAAGGTCATGACGAGAGGGAGAGAAGAGGGGTGGGTTGGGGGGGGGGCGGAGTTCCTATTCGGGCAGAGGGCGCGAGGATATCAAGAGATGGAGCGAGCCCGACAGAGAGGGACCAAGATCCAGGTAGACAATGGGGTGAAAGACATGGGGAGAGACGGAAGGGGAAGACGGAGGCAGATGGAGAGGACAAATTGGAATGATGTGGAAGAAGAGAACCTCCGTGTTTGTGTGTGTGGGACGGAGAAAGGGGAAAGAGCGTTTAGAAAGAGAGGACAAAGATGTGAAAGGGAGTAAACGAGAGGAATATAGGGGTGCGAGAGACATGGATAGACTTGGAGGAATGGGAAGACGAAGAGAGATGGAGAGGGAGAGGGAGAATTGGGAGGCGTGGAAGAGTAACTCCGTGTTTGTGTGTGTGGGCGAGGGAAAGGGTTAAGAGGTTTTAGAAAGAGAGATGGGAGAGGTGGTGGTTTAGGGTAAAAGAGATGATGATAGGGAAAGACATGGAGAGATAAGTGAAGGATGGTGTGTGTGTCTGTGTATGAGAGAGAGAGGAAGGGAGAGGGAACACGTTGTTATGTCGCTCATGGTTGGGTTGAGCAGACGACCATGCGGATGGCTTAAGAGATCGTGAAGGAGCAAAGGCACACAAGGTGGTATGGTCAGACGTGACCTGAAGTCGAACTGGTCGTGGATGGGGGGGGGGTTCCCACACGTGTGAAAGTCAAGGATAGAGGGGTATATGAGTTGAAAGTGAACTGCTTTGATATGTAGTTTGTATACCCCTGCGTTGAAGAGTATAGTCAATCTTCCTCCACTTGTCACTGTGTGGTAGTGATTGCTGCGCCATTTAGTTAAGTGGTTGGTTGATTAGTTAAAAATGAACTAATTAGCTAACCAAACTAATCAATCGTCTAACTATAACTTTGTTTCACTAATTAGATTCCCTGTTACTTCGACGGTTACCTGGTTAGTACCCAGTCTCACACACACACACACACACACAGACACACACACACACACAGAGAGAGAGAGAGAGAGAGAGAGAGAGAGAGAGAGAGAGAGAGAGAGAGAGAGAGNGAGAGAGAGAGAGAGAGAGAGAGAGAGAGAGAGAGAGAGAGAGAGAGAGAGAGAGAGAGAGAGAGAGAGAGGATTGCCAGGTAGGTGGTGATGTTTGTTTTATATTCAACTTCAAATGTAACCCTGTGATAACAATGAATGTAGGTCAGGAAGCAGCAGTTGAAGCAGCAGGCAGCTGCAGGAGAAACAGCAGAATATGAATAAGAACAGCTGCCGGGGAAAGGTTGGGGGGGCAAGGAGGAAGGGAAGGGAGACGAGGGAGAAGGGGATGGAGGAGGTGTTCGCAGGGAGGTATATCAGATGGTTACCAATGTCATCATCATCATCATCAGCAGCAGCAGCCGGAGATGAAAATGATCACAAGACGATGAGTCTCAAAAGGAGAAAATGGACCTGTCGAGTATCAGAAAAGAAAAAAAAATGGGAGAGGAGGAGGAGGAGGAGGAGGAGGTGGTGGTGCCGCTGCTGGTGTAATGTAGGAGGTTAATCAGAGAAGCAGCGGCAGAGCAAGGAGATTTGGACAAGGTTGAACAGTACTGTGGAGGGGAGGGGGTGTAGAGAAAGATTTGCGAGATGGAATGGGAGGAAAACGCTGTCACGGGCTCTAGTTCATAGCAGCAACAGCAGCAGCAGCAGCAAAAAGAGTACGAGGAGTTTGTTTTCGCGGAACGGCGGAGGGGAAGAAAGTGGAGGTGTTTTCTTTGTAGTTTGTAGGGAGAGGTGTTTTCTTTGTAGTTTGTCGGGAGTGTAGTTGGTCAGGACTTTTTTGTTGTTGGGTTTCTTTTATTGATAGTGAAGAAAAAAGGGAGTTTTCTAATTTTGCAGACAACAACTTTCCCTTTTGGGGGCGCAAGAACACAGGAAATTTACTTGTTGACGTCACTAGGAAGTTTTTCCTGCTTTTTTTTAGGATTGAAACTTTTCTCGCAGGGATAAAGGCGATTTCCTTTTTTCTTATCCGGAAATGTCAAAATGTCCAAATGGCAGGAGATTGTGTTTTGTTTGTCTGAAAATTTATGGTTCCCGAGGATGGGGAAATGTGAAGGGTTCTTTCCCCTCTTAAAACTTTGCGCTATCTATGTCTTGAGTTACGCATGCAGTCGTCCCGGGTTTGCGCAGAGGTTATGGGATGCTAATATTCTGTGTGTTGTTCCAATATTGACAAGTGGGATGTCCCAAGCTACAACACAAGGAGATCGAGTTGTGACAGTTTATTGATGGAAAAAGAAGGTTGAATGGGATTGGGGATCGCCACTACCTTTGAGGGTCTTTGTGCCATGGCAGAAAGTTCAATATGCATCGGCATGATGCTCGTCTTATTTCTTTTTCCCAAAAATTTGGACCATTTCTCGATTTATGCGTCTCATCCTTGCGCAGGGGCCGTGCTAATCTTCTCTGTATCGTTCCAATTTTAATGAATGTCTCGAAGGACAATGCTCGTTTTTTCCTTTGTGCCTAGTGTCGCCAGCCAATGAGGTCCGAGAGAACGCGACCTTGAAGAAGGCGGCGGTGGACAAATTTGCTATGAAAGTTTGTCAGTGAAAGGTAGGGGCGGTTTCACCTTTCAATGTAGCAATTGTTTTTTGTTGCTATTTTATTGTATATGAAGTATAGATGCTTGAAGATAAAATGCATGGTTACGCTCTGGACGTACCACAGTGCAGATGCAATTCTATTTTTTTTCCCATTTTATTGTATGTGAAATAGAGATAATTGAAGATAAAATACGTGCTTACACTCCGGACGTACCACAGTGCAGATGGTCTGGGTCTGTGTCCGGTCCAGAGTGTCGGGATCCATCCCCAACCCCCACCCCAAACAAAAATTCGACTTAAAACGAAAAAAAAGAAAAAGGTATGTTACGCACCATTGCAATACAACAAACTTTTGGCTGAGGACTATCTCGAGATCCGTAACCAAATCCAAGGAAAAAAGTGAAACGTCTTGTTAAAAAAAAAGGGGGGGGGTCAATCCGGATGGTCTGGAGCCAGTCCAGACATAAGTCCAGCCGAACTTCGGACTGGTGCGGTGTCCGGGTCTGAGGTAACCATGATAAAATATAAACTATACGCCGCAGCATACGGTTATGTGGCAGAATATTGAAAATATCAATGTTGGACACATGGAAATTAGAGTGTATGAACTTATGAAGTATGACCATAAAATATATTTGAGCTTTGTGTGGAGAGAGCTTTCTCAACAATTCGTCGTTTTAGGTTTTTAATGTATTAATTGGCTCTTGTTGCCATTTTGTTGTACATAAAATATAAATAATTGAAGACAATGTATGATCATGTGATGGAATATTAAAGATACCAGTGCTGGACATATCAAAATTTGAACTTATAGCCTTATACACACATAATATATTCGAGCTTTACGTTCATAAAGTTTTTTTGAAAACAAACAATTCTGCAATTGTTTGTGAGCTGCATCGACAAGCATTTGTCATGGCTACCTCTCAAGCATCTTTCATAGCATGGTGTTCACTGAATCCACCTGCTGCAAGTGCCTGCTGAGCACTATGTTTATCATACCCTAGCATTTGTTTTTCTTTTTTTCCTTCATACTTTTTTGCTTTCCTTGTTAGCATCCTTTCCCTCCTTTTGTCTTTATATGTGTGTATCTGTCCTATTTCATGAACAGGATCTCAGGTTAGCAAGTTGTCTGGCTATGGATGATGACTGTCCATAAGCTAAAATGTGCTAATGGTGAATTTGAGCACCATTTGAATGGATCTACCTAATAAGAAAGATTGTCAACAGAGAGTAATATGTTTTGTTTATTGAAATATAAATTTTTGAACTTTGCTTTTACTGTACCTGCAATTATATGAATATATGGATGATGATTGTCCATAAGATAAAATATGCTAATGGTGAATGTAAGCACCATTTGAATGGATCTACCTAATAAGAAAGCTCGTCAACGGAGGGTAATATGTTTTGTTTATTGAAATATAAATTTTGAACTTAGCGTTTACTGTACCTGCAAATGTACGAATATATGACATGAGTTTTTTTGTTGAAAAATAAAAGAAAGAAAAATAGAGTTCAGAAATATATTATTAGTTTATGGCATGCCTTTCTTTTTTTAATTATGCCTACATTGCATAATGCTTTTGCAGTTTGTTTTTGTCATTGGTCTTTGGTTTGACAATGATAA